TGTACCCTCTATCCCTACACTGTAAAGAGTTTTGATCAAGAAAGGATGCTTTACTCAAAAAAAAAAAAAAAATGCTGATTTTTTTGTCAAATGCCTTTTCTGCATCTATTGACATGATCATATGGTTCTAGTCCTTTCTTTTATTTATGTAGTGTTATCACATTGATTTGCGGGTGTTGAGCCAACCTTGTAGCCCAGGAATAAGTCCCACTTGGTCATGGTGACTAATCCTTTTAATGTACTGCTGGATCCTATTGGCTAGTCTTTTGGTGAGAATTTCTGCATCCATGTTCATCAGGGATATTGGTCAGTAGTTCTCCTTTTTGATGGGGTCATTGTTTGGCTTTGGATCAACGTAATGCTGGCCTCTTAGAAAGAGTTTGGAAGTGTTCCTTCCATCTCACCTTTTTGAAACAGCTTCAAAAGAATATGTATTAATTCTTCTTTAACTGTTTGGTAGAATCCCCCTGAGAAGCCATCTGGCCCTGGGCTCTTGTTTGTTGAGAGATTTTTGATTACTGCTTCAATTTCCTTGCCGGTTATGGGTCTGCTCAGGTTTTTTATTTCTTCCTGGTTCAGTTTTGGTAGTTTATATGTCTCTAGGAATGCATCCATTTCTCCCAGATTGGCTAATTTGTTGACATATAGTTGTTCATAATATATTCTTATAATTGTTTGTATTTCCTTGGTATTGGCTGTGATCTCTCCTCTTTCATTCGTGATTTAATTTATTTGGGTCATTTTTCTTTTTGATAAGTCTGGCCAGGGTTTTATCAATCTTATTAATTCTTTCAAAGAACCAGCTCCTAGTTTCGTTGATCTGTTCTATTGTTCCTTTGAAGTCTATTTCATTGATTTCTGTTATAATCTTTATTATTTCTCTTCTGCTGGGCTTAGGCTTTATTTGTTGGTGTTTCTCCAGCTAATTTAGGTGTAAGGTTAGGTTGTATACTTGAGACCTTTCTTGTTTCTTGAGAAAGGCCTGTAGTGCTATATACTTCCCTCTTGGAACTACCTTTGCTACATCCCAAAGATTTTGAACAGTTGTGTTTTCATTTTCATTTGTTTCCATGATTTTTTAAAGTCTTCTTCAATTTCCTGGTTGACCCATTCATTCTTTAGTAGGATGCTCTTTAGCCTCCATGTCTTTGAGTTCTTTTCAAATTTCCCCTTGTGATTAAGTTCCACTTTCAAAGCATTGGGTCTGAAAATATGCATGGAATGACCCCTATCTTCGGTACTCGTTGAATCCTGATTTGTGATCCAGTATGTGATCTAGTCTGGGGAATGTTCCATGAGCACTTGGGAAGAATGTATATTCTGTTGCTTTAAGATGGAATGTTTTGAATAGATCTGTGAGGTCCATCTGGTTTAGTGTGTCATTCATAGCCTTGTTTCCTTGTTTATCTTCTGCTTGGATATCTGTCCATTACAGTGAGGGGGGGCTATCCCCTACTATTATTATTGATGTGTTTCTTTGATTGTGTTATTAATTGGCTTATATAATTGGCTGCTCCCATGTAGGGGCATAAATGTTTACAATTGTTAGATCTTCTTGTTGGATAGACCCTTTAATTATAATATAGCATCCTTCCTCATCTTTTATTACAGTCTTCAGTTTAAACTCTACTTTGTCTGATATAAGGATTGCCACCCCAGCTTTCTTTTGATGTTCATTAGCACAATGAATGACTTTCCAGCCCTCACTTTAAATCTGGAGGAGTCTTTGGGTATAAAATGACTCTCCTGCTGATAGCATATCGACGGGTCTTGCTTTTTTATCCAATCTGATACACTGTGTCTTTTGATTGGGGCATTTAGCCCATTTACAGAGTAACCATCGAAATATATCAATTTAGTGCTACTGTATTACCTGTAAAGTCACTGTTTCTATATATTGATTCTGTTCCTTTCTGGTCCATGTCACGTTTAAGCTCTCTTGACGTTTAAAAGATCCCCTTTAATATTTCTTGCAGGGCTGGTTTGGTGATCACAAATTCTTTTAGTTTCTGTTTTTCCTGGGAGCTTTTTATCTTTCCTTCTATTTTGAATGACATCCTTGTTGAAAAAATATTCTTGACTGCATGTTCTTCTCATTTAGCACCCTAAATGTATCATTCCAATCCTTTCTGGCCTGCCAGTTCTCTGTGGATAGGTCTGCTGCTCATCTAATGTTTCTACCCTTGTAGGTTATGGACCTCTTGTCCGGGGCTGCTTTCAGGACATTTTTTGTCTCTGAGATGTGCGAGATTCACTGTTATATACTGAGGTGTTGATCTATTTCTATGATTTTGAGGGGGCTTCCCTTTGTCTGCCGGACTTGAATGTGTGTTTCCTTTCCCAGATTTGGGAAGCTCTCAGCTATAATTTGCTCCAATATACCTTCTGCACCCTCCTCCCTTTCCTCTTCTTCTGAGATCCCAACTATTCTCATATTGTTTTCCTTTATGGTATCACTTATCTCTCAAATTCTCCCCCAAGTGATCCAGTAGTTGTAGATCTCTCTTTTTCACAGCTTATTTATTCTCTATCATTTTGTCTTCTGTATCACTAATTCTCTCTTCTGCCTCATTTATCCTACCTAAAAAATTTAGCCTCCATTTTTTATTGCATGTCATTAATAGCGCTTTTTTATTTTTGACTTATTAGATTTTAGACTCCTTTTTTCTCCAGAAAGGGATCCTCTCGTGTCTTCTATGCTTTTTTCAAGCCCAATTAGTATAATCGTTATTTTGAACTCTAGCTCTGACATCTTACTTATTGTATCCATACTGATTAGGTTCCTGGTGGTCAGTCTTATTCTCTTTTCGGAGCTGAGTTTTTCTGTCTTGCCATTCCTGCAGAAAGTGTTCACTTTTCTATTTGTAGAATCTAGCAAGTCTTTTCATAGATCTCTACTCGAGTTCGCAGGTGTTCAGAATGAGAAGGGCTCCTACTTCTCACCATCTTGGACTCCTCACAAATATGATCTTTTGATACTGTATAATGGATTATGTGTCAACATCTAGAAGATCTCCATAACTCTGTGAACCAGTTTTTCCCAAAAGAACAATAACTTATGTCACAAAACCATGTTTGGGTGAAAGAGCTAATCAAAGTGCAAGAAACACTAGTGGGTTTTAATGTAACAGAGTACAAAAGATTCATGGACATGGTTTCAGGTCAATCCACATTGCAACCCATCTTTAAGAAACAGCCACTTGTCAAATATCAAAGAAGAAAATCCACAATTATCTAAGAAGACCATTAATATGCTCCTCCCTTTTCCATCTGTACATGTACATGAAATTGGATTTCTTCATATGCTTTAAACAAAACAAAATATAGCAACATATGGAATGCAGACACAGATGTGAGCATCCAGCTGTATTTTGTTAAGCCATACATGAATGAGAGTTAGAAAAGTGTAAAGCAAATGCAAAAAAAAAAGGATTTTCTTTTGCTTTTTAAAGGATAGCAACTTTTACTAAAAATATTGACACGTAATATCTTTATTACTATTATTTTAACTGAACTGATAAATATTAAACTTCTCAATTTTGATTTCTATACAGTTAATAGAGATAATATAGTTCACATAAACAAAGGGAGTGTTCTGTCCAAAATAAAAATATAATCATATCACCTCCTTGATTAAAATCTTTTAAAACCCCTCTTAGTTTTCAGAATAGAAATTCAAACATCTTGCTTAAAATGGCCCATCAAATGTCTGATTTAACAGTATCTTCCCAAAACTTAACATGCAAAACTATTTTACTTCAAGAATTCTAGAAAGTTACTCCTGACACAAGAGTGCACATCTGTGTTCAGGGATGTTCACTACAGAAATACCACAATATCAGAAATATAAATGGAATCTAAACATGCAACAGTAGAATCTAATTAAACATATCATGGTATAGCCATAGGCAAGTTGTAGAAAAACACATACAGTAGAATCCCAATCTGTAAAAAGGTTGGTAAATATGGGTCTTTGGGGGTATGCCTAGTAAATTTCTGGAATGAGAGACATCAAAATGCCAATGAAAGCGAGGTTAGAAATTAGAAACCTTCTTCTTTGAAGAGTTTAACGGTTTTGCTTTTACATTTAGCACTTCAATATATGTGAAAATTATTTTGTATGTGATATGAGATAAGAGGCCTAATTTCTTTCTAATTAAACAGCCAATTGCCATAAGACGTATGCTAAATGGTCAATCCTTTCCTCGCAGACTTGAAATGCTACTTTTATCCTATTAAAGTCCTTATACACACATGGGACTGATAAAGGAGGACATTCTGTTCCACTAAATTTATTCTGTTCCAGTGTCAGCACCAGATACCCTAAATAAATATGATATTTATAATACGTTTTGATATTGGGAAGGTCAAATCCCCCGCATTATTCTTTTTCAAAACACTTTTTGGCTGCTTTTGCATTAATATTTCTCTAGATGAACTTTAGAATCAGTGTGTTTAATTCCAAAACTATATTAAATGTATGCATTAGTTTAGGGAAACGTGATATTATTTATTTTTATTATTCATTATTACTATTTTTTAAAATTTTATTTATTTATTTGAGAGAGAAAGAGTGAGAGAGAGCAGGAGAGAGGAGAAGATCAGAGGGAGAAGCAGACTCCCCAAAGAGCTGGGAGTCCGATGCGGGACTCGATCCTGGAAGTCCGGGATCATGACCTGAGCCGAAGGCAGTCGCTCAACCAACTGAGCCACCCAGGCACCTTATTATTTATTATTCTTTTTTATTAAAGTACAGTTGACACTCGGCATTATATTAGTTTCAAGCATATAACATAGTATCTCACAACTCTATGTTATGCTACGCTCAGCAGAAGTGTAGCTACCCTCTGTCATCAAAAAAAAGGGAACCATGATTTTAATAAAATTGATTCTCTCCATCGAGGATTATGACATGCTTCTATTTATTCTTTCTTCCTGTTCTTTAGGAATAAATTTCTTGTTGTTTAGAGCTAAGTTTATACCATGTAGTTCCATTTTTATTATTATTATAGAAACAATATCCTTTTTCCATTGTATTTTAAGACTGATACTGCTGGCCTTTAAGAAAGCTACTGATTTCTATATACTTAAATCTGGTCACCTTCCAGAAACCAAGTATGGAACTTCACATAGTTCTGGAGGTGAAGTACGGAACTTCACCTGACTTGGCTTAGGGTCCCGAATACCAACAAAGGCCATGTGATAAAATAACATAGCTGAAAAGTGCAATGACATAAAACCAGGCTGTTCTTCATTCACACTGCATTCAGTTCTGGATAAAGAGAGCTGTGAGTGTGTAAGGCACAGAGCCAGAAAGTGTAGAGGAAATGGGCTGGTGGTAATAGGACCACTCATCTCTGTCAGCCTCTATCATCTATCAGATTGTGTAAAAAGGACACCAGATGTCACCGTATTACAAAGTATAAAAGAAAGCAATTGGAATCAATGTTAGAAATATACATTACCTCCTCAGGAACTCCAATTCGCTTAGCTGGGATTCTCTTAAAGAACCCTTCAAATAAGTTTTTTCCCAACGGACCATAGTTTTCAACAGCAGTCGGGGAATAAATGACTCCCTATGTTTAAGAATAAAAAAAGAACAAAATGAAGTACATAACACTAAATTTTAAAATCACAAAGACATCAAGGCAGTCATCAACCAACACCAAAACACTGGCTTAATAGAAAAGTCAACATTTCTAATATTAATTTTTCTCAATATCATCAAGGAAGTACAGTTAACCACGATTACAAGTGGATTATATGAATGTTCATTTTGTGAACTCTTCTCCCTGAATAACCAGCAAAGCCCTGTATTTTTCCTGAAAAGATGTGTTCTCTAAAATCACAATTCAATAAATAGATCACAGAGGCACTTAAGTGTGAAAGGCAGATAGAGGAGTCTATTCTGTTTTCTACCAGGCTTCTCTGACTTGTAACAGAAGCCTGGGCTGTGGTTATGTGAGACATGGAAAATACAATGGTTTCATGGGTTTTCATTATGGTAAAACCACAGATAAAATATTGAATCCAATATAAATAAATAAAATTTCAATTGTTTGGGAATTCTTTGATTTGGCTCTTACTAGTTTTCAAGTATGTTCCCGAGACATTTTCTCTTGACTTCAAATCAGTCTTCAACTTGAATTACACCTTAGTTTTTTCTCTCTCTCCTAAAGAAGCATTAATGATACACCAAGAAATAACAACATAATCTGACAAATATTCGTTCTCTAAAGCAGAGGTTCTCAATCTTCATTGTGCGTTTGAATTTCCTAGGTGGCTTTTAAAAATACCAACACCTCAACTCCATAGCAGGGAATCAAGCTTACCTTTCAATATTTTCTAAATGTTTCCTAGATAATTCTAAGACACTGTCAAGACTGAGAATCACTGGCTTCCTTTCACCTGCTTGACAGTCTATTGGTAAATCGAAGCCTAAGTCTCTCCAATTTTACCTATTTTTAAAAGCCTGTGTTTCCTAGTATGCATGCATATGAACAAATACCTCCATCGACAACACAAAGTGAATCAGAAAAGCACAATTAGTCAACAGCGTTCGTATGGAACGTTTACCTACAGGGGCAACACAGTTGATCCTTACTCCACTGCTAGCCCATTCCACAGCCAAGGACTTGGTGAGGTTGTAAACCCCTGCTCTAGCGGCTCCAGAATGCCTTTAAAAGACAAAGCATAACAATTCCAATCAGCTTCCACTGAATGTTTCTCTCGTTAACTCAAGCGACAGGTATGTCAGTGGCCTGTCAGATCCCCACAGATATGTTCTTGTTGAGCTGTTTTTTTGGAGTCTTAGTCTGAATAGTGGGAAAGAACTGGGTCCTTTAACAGTAAAGCCAAAACACGGGTATCTGATAGTCAGTTGAGTGTGACCAGCCCACACAAGATCCTTCAAAAACTCCATGACCATAAGAGAAATATTTTGAAGATCTTTTACTATGTAGAAAAAATAACAGATTGGTTATTTTGGGAGTCACAAGTGTGGTTATCTTTTAAACCAATTTTAGATGACAAGGCATAAGAAATTCATATATTGGGCTAAAAATAGTATCAGTAGACTTTCTAAACACACCCAAATTTAGTAAATTTTAATATATTTTCAGATAGAAAGTTCAAAATAGTTAGGTCTGCATGGATATGTTGTCTGATACACAAGGTACACTGGGGCTTGGAATTTCTAATTATAAGGTCCTCTGACCTTAAAATATCCTTTGACCAAGTATGTCAAATCTGGGGGCATATCCACTTCTCACTAGAAAGGACCTACAGAGCCCAACCTCTTTGGAGAAAACCCATCTCTGTCCCAGTGTTGGCCACAGTAACCGTAGTGGGACTCCAGGCAGAAGACAACCACTTTGTCAGAATTACCCAAGCGATCCCATCACCATCAGGAATGGCCACAACGTCCGTTGCTACTGCATCCAGCAGTCCTGTGTCTATCTACAGGACATGTTCCCTTGACCTGCCTACCCCCGCCCCCATGCTAAGAGCGGCCCAAAAGCAACACTCAGCTGGAAGGATAATGGAAATTTCCAGGCTTCTCTACAACACCAGAAGTAAGAGGCAGGGGCAGGAATAAACATGCTTATGTAGAAATGCAATCAAGCCCTGGGTCTTTTCTGTGAGGGGGACCTAGGGGTGTTTGTCCCCTTGCACTCAGTGCCCTGATCACCAGGGCCACCACATGAGGTCCTGCCTCTCATCATAGGAAAAGCCTCAGCAGTTATGTTGACCCCCTGAAGAAGAAGCAAGTGGCAGACGTTCAGAAGCTGGTGTAACTGCGCAAGAGAGACAGCCACTAGAACTGAGAGACAGGTGGAAAACCAGAGACAGAAGTTACTGAATTTCAGCATCTGAACCAGTTTGTTATACATGAGCAAGAGTCAGATACAGGGCAACAGAATATGCCACTCCAAAATATGACAGTAGGAACTCAGGACTTGCCACCCAAAATACACAGCTTTGATATATTATTTTGAGCTGTAGGCACTTGAAAAATAGCAAATGCAGGGAGAAGCTTTCTCTGAACTCCCCTTATCTGCCTAAATATAGACTGGGTTCCACCCAAAGGAGCTCGATTACCATAAATCCCCTCCCCAAGGGTTTCATCACCCAGGGAAGACTGCCTGTGATCACAGTTGTATAAAGACGAGAAGTTGACATCACACCCAGACACACTCTGTCACAAGCTACCATACCTCCCACCTATTTTTCTAAGGGGCCCACACATCTTTCGTAAAAACCATTGACTCTCCTCTACGAGGCCTCCATCTTTCCTCTCCTGTCTTTACTGAGATAGTGGTTCAGTCTGAGCTCTAAGTCACTCTTGGAAGCTACTCATTTCTCCGTGGGTATCTCCCGCATACATGATTTATAGATATGAATAAAGTTTTTTTTCTTGTTAATTTGTCTCTTATTGCAGGGGTCCTTACTAAGAACTCAGAAGGGTAGAGGGAAAATTCTTTTTCCTCCCCTACACAGTTTGCTCAAGCTTCACAGATGAAGAGAAGGACATTCAGTAGAAACTTAACACAAACATAACAACACGTTGAGATATCATTTCCATACTCAACGATCTACCAGAGAAGGTGACAGAAAACGGTGTGACGTCAGAAGTGAAACTGCTGATGGATGTCAAGGGCATCTGCAACAGGGGAGCCTGAGGCCCATGCTCTCCATCCTTTCCAGTTAAGGAGAGAAGGATGCAGTCTTCCTCCATGGTATTCAGATCTCCTAAAAGTGATACAAGGACTGAAAGAAGTTACTCTGGATCCCAAAACAGCACATCCTAATCTGCTTCTCTCTGAGGATAAACAACAACAACAAACACCAAAACCCAGAAAAAACTTTGACAACTGTGAAGAAAAAAGCAGAGAGTTCATTCAAATCCAGAGCGACTTATAGTTTATCCAGTCCCGTGTTCTGAAAGACTTGATTCTTGTGCGCATTCCTGGGAGGTCCAGGTGGGTGAGATGCCTGAATGGGCCGTGGGGGTTTGTGAAGATTCCCTTTCCAGGAAGAGAAGGTGGTTCCCATTGGAGCAAAACAGATACTGGACAATTCCGCTTCGGAGATGACTATGTCACATTAAGTGCTGCCCTAGTCACTCTTCTTCTAAAGGAAAACCCCAGAGGGACAGACATTTTTTTTGAACCATGAGTTGACTGAGATTATATGTTACCATTTCCATGACAGGTCTCGCAGCTCTTCTTTCAGTGACCAGTTTTCTAAAGTATGAAGGCCTTGTTTCTGTATGAGATAGGATTTAAAATCTCTTATAATCTGTACTGGAACAGATTGTGAGTGATAAACTGTCTTGAAGGTTGTCACAATGCCTCACTGTCCTCCTCTAATTTATAAATAGGAAGCAGAAGGATGCATGACTCTCCATGAATATAGCACCAACCAATTTTTTCAATGTTTCTACAACTTAAATACATAATACCATAGAGTATACACTCTTTTTCAGCAGGTCTCTTTAAATCAGAATAATTATGAATACATAATACCATACAGTATACACTCTTTTTCAGCAGGCCTCTTTAAATCAGAATAATTTTTTAAAAGATGGTGGAGTAGGGAACCCTATTTCAACCGGTCTCCTGAATTGAGCTGGCTATCTACCAGATCATTCTGAACATCCAAGAAAACAGCCTCAGATATAAGAAGATATATCTGGATCTCTACAAACAGCGTATCTGCAGTGGATGGTCTCGAGGTATGAAGTGGGAAGTCGTGATTCTGCAGGCAGATACCTGAAGATAAACGGATGGGGGAAGAAACCTCCATAATCTTGAACCAGGAAGGCAAAAGCCTCCCACACTGGGACCGGGCACAGACTCACAGACTGGTAGCCGCAGGGAAAGGACTTTAGGGCACCCTACCAGACTGAAACCTGGAGCTACAGGGGTACATGTGTGAACTGGAGCACAGCTTGCGGTTTTAGAAGCACAAAGAGCAGAGAGCCCCGCCCCCTGGGAGCGAGGGCTGGGAGTGCTGCTGTGCAGCCTGCGATGCAGGACGCTGCAGTTTTTAGCAGCACAGACAGAAAGACAGTGTTGCCTGGAGAGCTCAGTGAAGAGCAGACTGCAATCTCATTGTTCTGGGACAAAGGTTTGGATATGGTCACTTCTGTTCTGACTCTCAGAAGAGACGCATAAAGCCACCAGAGAACCAAAGCCCCTCTTCCCCCAAACCAGCTTTCACTGAGCCCATCTCCCTCCCCCAACAGGGGGGCAGGGCAACTCTGCCCAAACAGGGTTGCCCCAGTAACAGTGTGGCAGGCCCCGCCCCAAGAAGACAGGCTGGAAGAACAAGAAGTGGACAACCCTAAGTTCCTTAGAAAGCAGGTGCATCTTGCTTGGGTTGTGGCCAATAACTTGTACTCTGTACATTCCCTCAACCACCCTTCAACAGAATGACTAAGAGAAGGAACCCCCAACAAAGGAAAGAATCAGAGAATATGGCCTCTGCCACAGAACTAATAGATAGGGATATAACCAAGATGTCAGAAATAAACTTCAGAGTAACAATTACAAGGTGAACTCTAGACTTGAGAAAAATATTAACAACAATATAGAATCGCTAAGGGCAAAAATGAAATTGAATCAGGCCAAACTTAAAAATGCTATGAATGAAATGCAGTCTAAACTGGATAGTTTGACTGCCGGGGTAAACAAGAAGATTGAATTAGTGAGTTAGAGGATAACATGATAGAAACGAAGGAAACTGAGGCAGGATGGGAAAAACAAGTTAAAGGCTATGGAATCAAACTGAGAGAGATCAGCGATTCAATGAAACATTCCAATATCAGAATTATTGGGATCTCTGAGGGGGTGGAGAGCAAACGAGGGAGCGAGAGAGAGAGAGATCTAGAAGATATCTTTGAGCAAATTGCATCTGAGAACTTCCCTAATCTGAGGAAGGAAATAAGCATTCACGTCCAAAAGGCAGAGAGGACCCAAGATCAATGAGAAGAGTCCAATGCCCCAGCATACAATAGTACAGTTTGCAAATCCTAGATCCAAGGAAACAATCTTGAAAGTGGCAAGGGGGAAGAGATTTCTTATGTACAGAGAGCGGAACATCAGAATAATGTCAGACCTGTCCACAGAGACCTGGCAAGCCAAAAAGGCAAGACATATTAAGGGTACTAAATGAGAAGAACATGAATGCAAGGATATTTTATACAGCAAGGCTGTCATTCAGATTGGATGGACAGACAAAGATGGAGAGAAAATGAGCATCCAAGAAACTGAAAGAATATATGACTACAAAGCCAGCCCTATAAGAAATATTAAGGGGGGGGTTCTATAAAAGGAGAAAAAACCCAACAGTGATATAGAACAGGAATTTAGAGCGGCAATCTAGAGAAAAAAGCTTCACAGGCAACATGACAATAAAATCGTATCTTCCAATAATCACTCTTAACATGAATGGCCTATACGTTCCCATGAAATGGCACAGGGTTGCAGACTGGATAAAAAGACATGACCCATACCTATGCTCTCTACAAGAGACTCATTTTGAACCTAAAGGTGTTTCCAGACTGAAGGTGAAGGGATAGAGAACCATTTTTCATACCACAGACTTCAAAAGAAAGCTGGGGTAGCAATTCCCCTATAAGAAAAATCAGATTTTAAGCTAAAGACTGTAGTTA